CAACTAGTATATCTTAATCATAAAACAGTCAGAACATTAAGCCTGCAAAATAGTACAATTACATTAAGAATATCACAGAGAACTAAAATGAGAAATATTTGATATAAAAAGACAAAATTTCAGATAATTCTTTTAGTAATCAAAATTTAACAACAGATCATAGCATAAATGGAATAAGTCAACATACTAATTATCAAAAATAAAAATATTTCAATATTTCCAGAAACATATAAATAGATCTTAAGATATTAATTTTATATATAAAGTAAACATTAAGGTGTCTTAAAATTAGAAACACAGTCCAGAATCTTTTAAATCAGCGTCTATTCTTAACTTATCACCACAAATACACTATTTTCCAAATAACATACAATCATTTTGACAAAATCGCAAGTATTGAGCAAATTAAATTTATTTGGTTTATGAATTATATCAACTAAAAAGTATGGTAGGACAAAATGGTACCTCCAATTCAGCAATTTCCATAGAATGATCTACTCGGCCATCTTCTTTTTCTGCAAGCTGTAAAGTTTCTTCATCATCACTCCAACTGGAATTTGATGCTTCAAAATCCTCATCTTCACTCTTATCACTTTGTGTCTGCTGTTTAATTTTATATAAATTATTAAGCAAGATAATATAAAAAAATAAAGACAAACCTCTTCAACCATTTTATTTTCTCTTTTTTCTAGTACTTTTGGTATTTTGTCATGGACTCCATCATTTGATAATATTGATTCTTGTTTTATATCAATCTCATTTTTGTAAGTAACAGCAGTTGTCATTCTGTCTACAGTAATAACATCATCAGAAGATAAATGGATAGTGATTACTTTACCTAAGAAAAAAAAACTTGGCGTTTAATATGACTGATATAATAATTTGTACACAAGACCATATAATGGTTATATTTTATTGATTAAAATGATCCAATAAAATAAGTTATTTAATAAAGTAATGGAGTTTTACATTCAATAAAAAATAATCATTTTGATCTACCATCAGAAATATCCATTGGTGAATTTTGTGAAGTGTTAATCAAAGAGTTATTAGTAGACTTCATTAAACTTTCAGCAACTAATGTTGACATTTTTTCAGTTTGATCAACAATGAAATTTAAATGTTCATCTAATGCAATTTTTCTTTGTTCCTCCAATTTAGTAGATTGCTTAAATACAAGTAGCTGTACAAAAACACAAATTTAATTATTAATTATAAAATTATCTTAAAGAAATCATAGATATACAAATTTTCAAATTAAATTAAGTTATATGTTTTAATGATATTTAAAATACTTGCTTTTTCAACATTACTCCAAAATGTTTTAATCATTTTGGCAATAAATCCAGTTATTCGCTTTTGATGCATTTCAGATGCTTTCGCTGCTTTTTGAGCTTCAATTTTCTTTTCGTGGAAATGCTTCATAACCATTTTAGCGCACTAAACAGTATTTTATGGTGCAAAATTAATTAAGTTTTGAAATTCAATAATTTAATAAGTAAAATACTTGTTTAGCTGCTTTTTTCTTCCATTTTCGTTCTTGGGCAAAATCAGTGGCAAGCCACTGCATTTCTTCCAAAAGATAGTCATGGTGTGCTTTATTTCTTGGAGGTTCATAAATTTTAGGCAGTCTTTTTTCACTCCACAAACCATCACGCTGTAGTTGATTTATTTTTTGAATGATTTGTGCTTCCTAGATAAAATATTAAATAAAAATGTAAATGAAAAAAAAAACTTTAAACTCAAGTAAGAAATAACTAACCCATTTGACTCTTTCAAACACCTGATCAGGTTGATTATCATGAGACTGCCGAGGTGTATGAGAAGAATTAGGAAGTCCTTCAGCAGGTGAATTAGGAGGTATTAATTTATTGGATTCTAAAAATTGAATTTGCAACATTATTATTTTGACATTTAAATAACAATACTCTATTCCAAATAAGTCTGAAAAAATATTTGACTATAATCCATCTGATTTTGCACAAATATGTCACATTATCTTCTAGAAGCTAGTATTGTTGGTGATGATCCAATTGTATAGTGTCAGAATGTATTTTCTAACACTCAGGTAGGTACGATCTGCATATTTATTTCTTGCTGCTGAAACTATAGTTATGTTCCGTATATACAGCAGCAAGCTCTTTCTGCCAACTGATCAAGAAAAGTGTTGATGAATGTAGCCAATGGCAATAGAAATATATGTGCTATTTTATCCAGACTTACTTCAAATAGAGTATACAACATACATTTATTAAAAGTAGATGAGAAAACTTACTTTTAAGAGTTTACGTATATAGTGAACTTTTTTTTCAATTTGACACTATAAAACTTATATATAAAAGGATTATTTTTTTTGGTATAACTTACTGGTGTCCGAGACTGGAACATGTGTTTCCTGTGGTTCGGACGCTTGTTTGTCCAGCCACAGCTTAAGGTCGGCAAATGGATCACCATTGAATAAAGGATCGTCATCACATTTAATATTTGCCATAGACCATACATGCTGATCGTTGAATACCTGTTCAACTTTTTCAGGTATGAAATCATGAATTTTCGACAACGACTGTACTTCGTCCAATTCTCGTTGGGATTGAGCAAGCTTTGCACGTACAGTTTCCAATTGTTCAAACACCATTTCACAAGTACGTTTAATCTTGGCTGAAGTGCACATTTCCAAAGCTTCAAACTCTTTGGCTGCTACCACAATAAATTATTAATAATAATGATATTGGTAAAATAAGTTGAATTCTTATAAAAAATAAAAACATACATTCTGTTGAGTATTTACGCTTTCTTGTACTCTGATTTTGATTATCCAAAGAATCATCATGGTCAGAGTTGTAGCTGGTGTTTTCAGCATCATTTGTAGAGCCATTTACACCAATTAGATTATCACAATTACTTGGTATAAAATTTACACCAGATGTCACCTAAAAAATAGATAAATATAATATTATAATATTCCAAAACTTTTTGATTTATCATAAACAAATTAATGTATCATTTAAAGAACCTTTTTACTCAATCTTTCAAACACTACAATTAAATTTTGAATTGGTAATACATACTAGATATGGTAAATGAATCTCAAAAAAAAAAAATTATAAAATAATAAATGAATTTGACTGATTACACATTGTATCAAATCTATGTATACAGTAGTTTGATAGAAATGCAAGCAACCAATTAAAATATTATTAACATTATAAGATCAAAAGATAGAATAAAGATGGGTTACAATCTAAATATTAATTTTTATACATTTCTTTTTAAAATATTTACACTTAAAAAAAAATTACTAAAAAAAAAACACATACTTTTAATAAAACACTTAAAATACAAAATCAAAAAAATTATTTACCTGATGGCCATTTCCATCGTATTTATTATGTTTGTGACAATCAATGGTCCCAGCTCCCAGTTGGGAAGCAGTGGCCATAAATGATTTTAGGTTCTGAACAATTATTAATCGCTTTTGGGTTATCCATTTAGTTTATCTGAGACAAATGTAAAACAATAGATTAATTCACAAGACTCGAGTAGATAAAATAAAAATAATTATGAACTGAAGTCAAATTCTCGGAAGACTTTTATAGTATAATAAAAACTTTATAGAATATTTTCTTTATTTATTTATTCAATATTATTTCCATTCTATTAAATTAATTAATAGGCTAATTTGATGGCTATGAGAATAAAAAATTAAATACATATGAAAAAAAAATAGTGTAGGGGCTGTTCACCTAGTACACATGAGAATTAATAATTAAATTGCTATTTTTTTTTATTTTTTTTAATTAGAATTGAAATTTATTTACTAGTTAAAGGCATTTTTCAGATATAACTGAGAAGGTAAGGTAAAAAGAAGACATATTTTTGGTGAGGTGGTTGGGATTATCTAGCGTGAACTATATTTACAATTTTAATACTCCAAACACCTAATCTTATAAATGTATCTAGTTCTAAATTTATATAATAATTTATTAATAATTATTGTAAATTCATGAAAAACATTTTATTTTATAATTATTAAGAAATACCCGTTATAAAATTATATTTTAAAAAAAGCATTAGATTCATTACTTCATAAGAAATAATATTCAATTGTTATAAATTAATAAGAAAAATCAAATATAAAATCATATTTAATCAAAAGTTAAAATTAAGAATAATTTTTTTTTTTTTTAAATAAAAATAACAAGCACATGTTGATTTACCCTCCAATATACGTCTATGAATAGGGGTGAGTTATTAACATCCCTACGTACTTTTAAAATAGAAACACAGTAAGTGATAAAACCAACAACAAAATTAATAAGCAATTAATACTTTTAAATGGAAATTAACAAAATTTAACTTTATCTAGAGATTAGAGGTTATGTTTTGAAAACAGAAATTCAATAATAACACAAATAATAATAATAGGCGGGATAAATTAATATTTGATAAAAATATATCGCCAACACGATTTTTGACAATCCGGTGAAAAAAATAATACGCAAAGTGGAATTCCCACAACGTTATTAAGCAGGAAAGTCATAGACGCCACCAGAAAAACACTAACGCAATGAAATAACATAACGGAAGGAAATGGCGGGTCGGCCATTTTGTGCGCGCCGGATGAGACTGCCGCCGAGATGCTTACCAAGATCGAAGCGATTACCCTCCATCGGTCACAAGCCATCACACGAGTCTGTTCAGACGATTACCGCACATTTTGTATGCACAAAACTAGAACATGACACGGTGCGCACAAAGAATTTCATAATAGCAACACACGGGATCGAAAAAACGTACTGACCGATTCCCCAGACGAAATACACGTAAAGAGATGCGCACGACAATATGGCGTCCGGCGGCGATCGACTGCGAGAATTCGCTGTTTAGTGGGCGCAGCTAGTACAGGCTGATCGAGAGTGAGCGCCTAACAGCAAAACAAAACAAAAACTTCACGGCGGCGGCGCGTCCCCTCGCCTTTCGTGGCACCGGAACAATAACATAATCCACAGTGTTGCCAACAAATTAAATGTAAATGTAAACAATGCCAAACACCGATTCCTCGTCAATTTCCCGGGCACATTTAAAACTCAATGTATTAACTATTAGGTTATGTATCGATATTTTTTAGATGCAGCATATCACAAGTTATAATAGGACTATCACAGTTTAAAGTAAACGTTTAAAATATATAACTGTATTACTCTATTAGGTATGTTCAATGTTGTATAAATTTATTTTAAGCCTTGAACCGTTAGGCATATTTATTATTTGCCCAAATACAAACATACTATGTAGATCAACTATGTTATTTGATTAATTGCTTTTTTTATATTAATTTGTGTAGTGAAAGAATCCAGCCTCCAAAATATGTGATAATGGTTGTTTAATAGTTGACTTAAACTTATGTTTATTTATGATACTTTTACGGAGTAAATTTATTATGTGCTTCTATTGAACAATTTATTACAATCCATTAAATTATTGAAAATGATTCGATTAAACGTTTCTCTAATACGTGATGAAAACGTTCTTAACAATTTATTTGAGAAAAATATTTATACAGTGAACGACTTCCTTCAAAAAAAAACTTCCAATTTACAAAGCATTTGCAAATTACAATGCAAGGTAATGGTAATCTAAGTAAATAAAAGTTGTTAGAATCTATCATTGTAATTTGTATTATTATTTAATATGTGTTATATGAACTATGTAGGCTATAATTATTGATTTGTGCTGATATATTTGTATACTTAATTTTAAATTTTACACGTCAAATTATCAATAACTTGAATATAAAATAATGCTCAAACTAGTATGCATAAACAATTTTGAAAAGCTATCATTATTTAAATTGTTACAAATATGCTTATTGAATTTAGAAACAAACTTCATTTCATACTCAGAAGTTCTCAATAGACATTAACTAGTTAAAATATTTAAGATAGTTTCTTATTTTTTTTAGAGATTCACTTAATGATGGGTAAAATTTGTAGAATATTTAACATGTTGCATAATTTAATATTCTTATATCGTTCCTACTTCAGCTTTAATGGTGCCAATGTTGGTATTTTATATTTTATTTTTTTTTTTTTCAGGAAATAACAAAACTAAAAGATTGTATGACAGTTAAGTGTTCATCTCCACTTGTGAATGGATACGAGCTTTATTTAAATAGAACTGTATCAAGTTTTATTCAGACTGGAATCATAAAGTAAATAAAAAATGTTATAAATATATTGCAAAAAAATAAGTAATTTTTTTGTTTAGACTAGATAATATACTTGATGGAGGATTATTTGCCGGTAACATTTATGAACTATGTGGCCCATCTGCTTGTGGAAAGACTCAAATATGTTTTAGCATTCTATTAAATTTAATAATATCTACAAAAAAAGATATAGTGTACATAGATACTAAAAATAAATTTTCAGTGAACAGAATTAAACAAATGTTAAAAAACAAATGTAAGACAAATAATGAAGTATGTATGTTCAAATAACATTTAGAAATTATTTTTTTTAATTTGTTTTTAATTTTTTACAGATCAAAGATATATTAAACAAAATTCATGTATACTCAATTTTAAACATATACAATTTAATAACTTGCTTGCATTGTCTCAAAGAAAAATCGGAACCTATAATAATAATTGACTCTCTACCAGCACTTTACCTATCATTTATAGGATTTGATAAGAATGATGGTATATTAATAATGTTTCAACTTGTTCTAACAGACTTTGATGTTTTTATTGATTTTTTAGGTTTAAGTTATATAAATCATATATGTTCAGTTTTAAAGTATTTATGCAATAAAAATGCAACAATTATGGTAACAAATTTAGCTGTTAAAAATTGTGATTTTACTAATAATTTCAAGCCTGCTATTGGAAAATATTGGTTTCATATACCCAACACAAGATTAATGATTACACCAATAATAAACCAACAACACCAACAACAGATATGTATAAATATTACAAAAAGTGTATACATACCCTTAAATGAAAAATTGATATTAAACATTGATGATTTTGGAGTTTCATAAATATATTTCATGTTTATAAAACAAATCAAAGAAAATATAAATTATGTCAGCATTTTAATATTAAATACAATAAACTTAATAAATGCAAGGATTTTGATTTCAACATTATATTATAGTCAATAACAAAAAAAAGTTGATTACAATTTAAAATAAACTTAACATCATTTAATAATAATTCATAGTAATATAAAAAAAAAAAATTATAATTCTTTTATAACTTATATAATTAAATCTATTCAGGTACGTACAGATTCAGAACAAGTGTCTTGCGCAAGGCAAGGACAAAACTTAATTCTTTTTGTGACATTTTCTTTGTTTGATGAAAACGTATTACTTGTCTTTAAGCTATTTGAAAATTCAGCAATGAGATTACCAACTTTCTCCTTCATAAGAATATCTTTTTCAAACCAAATGTGTTTCAATATTTTATCAAAATCAAACCTCATATTGTAATCAACTATTAACAACTGCTTGATAATATCTTGTGCAACATTTGAAGTGTTAAAGCATTTAAGTTTAGATAAATTATATACTCCTTTAATAATCTTTTCTTCAATATGATCACCAACAAAAGGTTTATAACCACTTAAACTGTTCAAATAAAGATATTTTATTACATTCATATTTTATGTGTATTAAAACAATTATTTACCATTCGTACAAAATAACACCAAAACTCCATGCATCTACTTTATTAGTGTATTTAATACATGATTGAGTTACGATTCTTCTATTTGAAAATACTTCTGGAGCAAGGTATGCTAATGAACCACAAAATGTTTTCAAATGTGTATTTTCAGTTACTTTCTTAGATAGACCAAAATCAGCCAATTTCACAACACTTAGAGGAGACTTATTGGAGAGTAGAATGTTTCCTGGCTAAAATTTAAGAATAAATTATGAAATTATCAGTTGTAATAATAATTTTTTTTAACATTAATTGTAATCAAAAAACTAACTATTAAAATTTACCTTAAGGTCTCTGTGAGCAATTGATCTATTATGTAAGTACTGAACAGCCCGAGCAACTTGATACAAAATTATTTTGGATTCAAATTCTTTTAAGCGTTTTGTACTTTCTATTAGTTGCTTTAAAGTTCCTCCAGGCATGTATTCCAAAGTAATATAAATCGCATCAGTAGTATCAATAAAATTTTCCATGTTAACAATATTTGGCTAAATATAAAAGTTATGACAATAAAAACAGATAGGAATAAATAATAATTAAACAAAATTGTTTACAATTACATGAGATAAGCTTGATAAAATATCTGGTTCCCTTAACACAATACAATTCTCTCGATTCACTTTTTTCAATGCAAAGCATTTTGAAGTTTTCTAAAAACAAAATAATAATAATTTATTAACCATAACCCATAACTGATCTGTCATACCACAATTTACATTTTATTTTTACATATTAATTTGACATAAAACGAGTTTATTTGATTTGATAAAAAATAAATACATAGTAATCTATATATTTATAACAAAAAAAAAAAATGTATAAATACATATTTATATAAAATTTTATAGTTCTTATTTCTAATTAACTACTTATTGTTCTATAGTAAATACTGAGTACCATTTTTTTTTTTTTTTTTTACAAAATGTTAAAAAAAAATTGTTATTTGATATTGGGCCTTTTAGAAAGATTTTTTAGAAATTTTTTAGAAAAGCTCATGGTTTTGATTAAATGTACTTTCAAAAAATTAATAAATGTATCTCCCTTTTTATTTTGAGCCAGTAGAGCTTAAAATATCTTCATAGGACCTAAGCAAATCTTAAATCTATAATATTTAAGAAAAACACTTGTTTTAAAGAACAAAATACCTAATTAGTTAACTAAAAATAGATTGAAAAACATTTATTAGATTATATAAAATCTAAATAAAAAGTTACAATAAGCAAATAAAACAAAAATAAATATACACGTCTTGAAATCTTGAGGAGAGTAACTACTCAGAAGTAACAATCAAGAAACAAAAAATTTGTTAGACTATTTCATATACAAATATTATGAGTTTATTTTTATGTTATATTTTTTCATATTAATTTAATTAAACGAAATTCCGACACTAGCATTTCTTAAGTATTCTTGGTGAGTTCTCAAGAACGTTTACTGAATTAAATGCAAGAAGTGAAATCTGGTGGTTCATAAAGAACAGAATCCATTATAAGACAATATAACGACTTTGTCCACAGCCTGTAGCCCAAGATTGGAGAGTAGTGAATGGATTGATAGTTAGAAGAGAACTTAGTGATAACACAAAATGATATCGATAGAAATATTTACATTTTATAAATATTGGATTTTTACCTCCCCCATAATTGGATAACATAGATCCAAATAAATTTCAGGAGGGTTTTGTAGATCAACAATTTATTATTCAGATTATATTCAGAATGTTTACCAAGAAGTGAATACACAGACTTTTGTCTAGAGTTTAGTAAGATATTTTTGTTTCATATGTTCGGCCCAAGTTAGACATGAAGGAAAAATCAGACTTAAGTACTTGAGTCTAAAGTAACTGATAATATAATTTTATTTGTCAGAAAGAGAGGCACTAACTTTATCTAAAAGTAAAGATGAAATACAAAGATTTATCATTATTTATTTTAATTTTCCATTAAGAACACCATGCTTCTATGTTGTTGAGATGACTTTATAAGCATTCTTTGCCAATAAAAAAGTTATCATTAGAATTAGACATTATTTTGTAGTCGTAAATTCAGCATTGATGAATGAGGTAATATTGGTTAATCAGTCTCATCTATGTTATAAAGAATGGAAGAAAATATAGCACCTTGAGATCCTCCGACTAGGATGGGTTCTAGGTCAAAGAACTCAAAATCTACTTTTTTTACAAAGTGAGAATTTGAAAAATAAGATATAGGAAATGGAGAGAAGTTTTTTTGATTTAAATAAAAGTCCTATTTGCCAAACCTAGTCAAAAATATGGGTAACTTCAAGTCGATTTGCTAAGCAGTATATGTATAATTTGTTTTCACAAAAATAGGCAATAACATCAGTTAACCGATGAATTTGGTGAATGGAGTGATTATTACAAAAGTCAAATTAAGTATGAGGGATTTTCATCATTAATGATCTTTAATAAGCAACTGATTATCACATAGTTTAAAAGATTAAATATTTGATTTAAATTATTTAAAATGTTAAAATTATTTAAATTAAACATGATTTTTAGTATCAAAATGTAAACAAAATGAATAATCACCATAAAATGTTAAAAAAAAAAAATTGAAACATAAAAATACACGAATTAAATATTAATATAAAAAATATATACTATAAACAGTTATTCAAAATGGTTTGATATTTCAAATATCCATACACATAATTTTGTTAATATTCTAAATAATAAATTATGAACGTTATTCATGTTGATATTTTATACATATCAAGGCTAGGGATCTCAGATTTTTTTTTTTAAATACGAGATATTTTTAATCATACCTATACTTGAAAGTTGTAATTTATATTGGTGTTAATTTTGGAAAGGAATGAGGGGAATTATGTTAGCAATTAAAATATAACAAAATTAAAAAATTAATTTTTGTTATACAAATTCTTTGTAAACATTTATTAGCTAAAATGACATATTTTGACCTTCTGTAACATTTCATTTTCATCACAGTTACTAAATATACTATAAAATAAAGTTAAACACAATCATAATTAAATAATAGTTATTAATTATCACTTGATTTAGATATTATGGTTTATCAATAATTTAAAATTTAAATACTTAAATAATATGAAAACATTTTATTTTTAAAATAATGAACGTACGAGATGGATTACCCAAAATACAAGATAAAAGTGTTATTTTAAAACTTATGTCGGGACACTTCATTCAAGTACAGGATAATACCGTAAAATATGAGATGTATGGGATCCCTAATCAAGGCTCTAAGATAAAATGTTAACATTTAATTTAATAATAGTTCTTTTAATTTGACAAAACTTACTTTTTCAAAAGCTAATCTGACTTCACCAAAAGTTCCTCTACCCAATACACCAAAAACAGCAAATTTTTCCATAACCTTTTGTGGACAATTTAAATAATCTGAACGTTTATCAGTAAATGTATACACTAAAAAAATTAATATAAAATTCTTAGTTATTAATTTGTTATATTAAATGCTTATTAAAAATTTACCATAATTAGTTTTAGAAACAATGGAAATTTTGTCATTATTTGATAAAATCCAACGATTGTCTTTTCCTATTTTTTCGCCATTTAAAAATGTACCATTTGCACTTGAGTCTGTAATAAACACTACATGATCTAAAGTCCCAATCTTTTCACGATTTATAGTGAAATGAATCTTGCTGATATGATTCATTACTTTTAAACTAAAGCATTGTTTTGTAAATTGAAAGTCAACATCATTAGTTTGACGACCAGCATTGTAGTTATCCTTCACTAGGTCTAAAGTAAATAAAAAATTGAAAATTTATTTTTGATGTATAATACAGCATAATATAATGTAACAACAATAATACTTTAATAATATGTAAAATAAGTTTTACACACAAACCTTCAATTTTTAAATATTCATTCTCTGGATATAAGCGCCCCCACGCATTTGTATTCTCTGGTACAGATATTTGATCCTGAGTGTACAGTGAATCTTGGCTATTTATCAGTGGAGTCAGCACTTCTAAGTCACCCATAATTGATCCTTCAAAATAACATCAAAAGTCATAAAGTCATTTAATGAATAAATAAAATAACAGGTATCTATTTAGATCAATTTTATCCTACTATAAAATATTCATATTCATTTTCTATTAATTGACTAAAAAATAAGTTCACATTGTTTTATAAAAAATTAACAATGAAATGCATTTACAAAATAAAAACAAAGATTTGGAAAAATAAAATAAAATTGAACTATAAAAGACATAAGAGAAAACTTAATTATAAATATAAGTTTAGTTAATACTTTTAATAATTTACAGAATTTGATTTAACAATTACCTATGTTTTCATTAAGGGTATAATAGTAGGGTACCTTTCTATGGTACGTATGTCGTATAACAATAACAGATTATACAAGTTAAAAAACAACTATCGAAACTACACAGTGACTGCTTGCATAGGAAAAGATTAAATATCGCATAGACGAATTGCTAATTAGAACTCTTAATTTCGAAGATGATGCTACGGTAGCAAGGCGGACTCACGGATGTGTAACAATGATTACACCAATTTAAAATATTTAAATCAAAAATCACTATGGGTTATACGCTATTATGTACCAACCAGCATAAAGCGTTTCGTTAGAAAGTCACGTTAAATATTGTGTTTTTAATTTTTATCAACTACAGTCGTTGGTATCCATAAAATCAGAAATCTATAAATACTGAACTTGTTTTATTAGAATCGCAAAATATGGATATAGAAATTGATTTAATTATAAACTATGGTACTAATTTATTTATACCAAACATATTATTATTATTTATAAATATAATCTATACAAACTACGGTCAATTAAAATTGAAACTAAAACTAAATCGTAACACCGAATACGAACTATAATATTTATAATATTATCCAATATTGAACAATTACCAATATTTAACGATTTAACATTTACATTAATAATAAACAATTTTGGTTTTCAAAGTACAACAAAATAGAATGAATAATTAAATTTATTGTTTGTTTAAATGACGTTGTTTTTAAATATATTATATGTATACTATAATTAGAAATTGTAATTAATGTCTTCTTAAATATATAGGCTACTGTAAAACGTACCGTATCAATAATCAAAATATTTATCTTTAGTTTTTAGAAGATCTATAATTATAAAATTTCAAATCCATATCATAAACGGCGATGCAGTATTTTTGTCAAATTACTATGAAGTCAAAGACGTGCACCTGAAGCTGAACCACCTGTACGACTGGTAGTATCACCAGAGCGTCGACATAAACCTGCCCGGCAATCACTTCATTATCAGTTAATTTGCCGTTTGGCCAATGAACAAGATTCTGGGTACAAACATTCTAGTGGAGAATCCACCTCAAGGTAAATTTATCACCGCACATGTGATACACTGCTATATACACTGTATGTCTGTATACCCCTGTAGTTACTACTTAGTACTTACGATACATCGATACATCCTTGATAATTGATTTGTTCTTCCAATAATTTATATAATTTTTGTTTTGAATTAAATCTACAATTACTTTTACATGTATCTACGTCTTACTACCAGGAATTAATGATAAATTCCTGATCAATACCGTGCCTACTATGTAGGTATGTGTAGTGTACTATTGAATATTATATTTGATGGTATATTTTGGGTTTTACAACTTTTTAATTTATATTGATTCCAATATTCCATAGACAAAATGATTAATAAATAGGTAATTCTTATAACTTTATGCCATACAAAAATAGTGTGTCAGTAAATTACAACTATCAAGTATAAAACGACAAATATGAAATAGGTTAAATTATTATTAGCACAGAATATAACGTTATTAATGAATAAAAATTACGTTTATACAGTTATACTGTAGTCTGTAGTTGTAAATAATAAATATCAAATAATTATTTACTTATGAACTTAAATTGTACGCTTTCTTTGTTCTCAAAAACTGGTCCATAATTCGTAAAATGTATATTTAGTAAATACGAAATGTACAAATAATAAAAATTCACAATAATAAATTTATTACTTCGACTTTCGAGTTGTTTTTGAAAATTGTTCAAACTATTCCGTTATGAACTCGTAACAGTCGTAACTCATTAATCATCAATTAAGTACTAGTATTTAATTCATAACTTATTATAATTTTTAGATGAGAAATAAACTTATTAACTTATAATTCCATATTATATTAACATAGTTGAGTTTGAGTACAAGTATTACTTTGTATACTTCAGAAAAAATTACAAGATATTACTGATTACTTTGAGTTTCAACGAATTATGACTTATGACACCATTAAATAATAATAGTATAAACAAATAAACAATAGTTGTAGGGCATTAACTTCAAGTTACAATAATTCATATCTTTAAATTGCAATTATTTGCAATGCACTAATTTTATTATTCCAATAACATGGAAAACCCTACTTTGAGTTCTTCATCGGGTACCTATTAAAATTCTCATTAATTTTATTAATAATCCTATTCCTCATAAAATGATAACTTCTATATGTACCATATTCGTGCATAAAGTATATAATATTACTACATATTATTTCTCTGTATTTAGTTGAATTTTGATAATTTATTTTTTCCCCTTATTAAAACTAAAGTTATTATAACATCGGTTAGACAGGAAAAACATTGTAAAGCTCATATTTCTACATTTTTAAGCCTGATTCTTGTATAGATGATAATTTATTATTAATTAGTAATTACTAAGAAACGATGGTTAATGAATATATTAAATGGTAGATTGACGGACACTGACTATTGTTTTAATCAAATACTTAAATTTTAAATTTGATATTTTTCATACAACTGCAAACAAATAGGTACTTAACATAACATAAAGGTGGTAGGTGCTAAGGTACGTACAATTTTATTTTAATAACAATAATTATTGTTATGCTTATGTCTATTATTGATATTATATAGCTGTAGCTTATGTGTTAAATTGCTCCAATCTCAGAAATTACTGGACTGATTGACGATTCCAATAAAAATTATACCAATAAATTCCTTGAAACTTGTTTTTATCTTTATTTTTCAATCCCTATAAAAGGTCTCAGTGGTCTCACACATGCATTTTCTTAGAACTTACAAAAATAGAATATTATGTACATATTCATCAATTATTACCTGGTATAGGTACTGAAGAAGCTCTACTTAACAATTAACAACTCGATTTATTTATAATGAATTAGATATTTTTTTTTTATTTTTTTTTTTTTTTAAACATAAGACTTTCCTAGCCTAACTGCTTAAGGCTATCTAAATCTAGGGATATTGGAAGTTTACATAATTTTTAACATTATAACATGATAATTAAAATATTTTAAGTACTAAGAATAATTATTACAGTTGGTAATAAAAGTACATAGTAAGGTGATTACAATAATATTCTAATATTTATATATTTACAATAGTATAACTATAACTTATAATTAGCTGAAGTCGTAGAGTGATCTGGAAGAAGCGCATGTGAAGAGTGAAGATTTGAATGTTGGGAGGTGACTTAGTGTAGGAGGTCGTGGGGACGACCACGAATTAGGTATTAATTATAAAGTAATTGCTGTGTTCCTGGACTTAATCAAGGCTTTTGGTACTATTAAGTGTTAACCACAACATTCTATTATAAATGTCTACAAACTTTGGTATTGACAAACTTAGTCTTAATAGGTTTAGCTGTTTTAGGAGCTATTTAAGAAAATAGTAATTAAAAACAAATGGTCAGGATCAATGACATAACTATTCACAAATTAGCAAGGTATAGACTTCAGTCGAATATGAAATTCCTCAAGAGAGTGTATTATATAGATCCTATTTTATTTATATTATAGTGAATTAATCATTTATTGGTTAATTGTCTGTTAAAAAAAAACTGTTAAATTGCTATAATTTTGAAATTCACTATTGCTTGGTAAGTACATTCATTCATTAAAAATTCGACCGATTTCAACACTATTTTTTATTTACAAATAAGTAGCCATAAAAGGGATATTTTTGAATTTCTTCTTTGTAAATTATAGCAAATTATATAATATATTCCAATAAAATAAGTGCAAAAGTGCACTAAAATATTCGTACTATATTTTGAATTAGAACTATCGTCATTAATTTTCAATTAATTAACATGCTAAATTGCTAACATGATGTATGAAAGTGAATTTTAATAATTAATAATAATTGTATTAAACATATAAACGTACCTATATTAAATATTAGGTCAGTGACGTACCTAGGCCTCCGACAGGGGGAAGGGGCGAAATATATTTTCACCCATTCTTAAAATAGAAAATTTCATAATGTACACATATTGTCATAATAATATTATATAATATAAAGTGACGTAGCCAGGATTTTTCGAAGGGGGATTTTTAAAATTTTATTGTACAATATTTAAAGTCAAAAAATATTTTAATTACATTACAATTTACACCAACCGTAGTCTTCTTGTTTTGGTCGTTAATTTATTTAGGACATCATCAGGGTCTATCGTTATATCACTGTGTATATTTATCATAGCAAAACCATTCAACCTATTTTCACACGTAGTATTTCGTAAATATGTTTTCAATCTTTTTAACGTTGAATATTCACCTTGGTTTCAAGATTTGGCCGATAAAAATCCTTGCCGGCGACGTCATATCTAATATATAAAAATCTTGTGTCACAAAGTTTGTTACCAAACTCCTCCAAAACGGCTGGACCGATTTTCATGAAATCTTTTGTGTGTATTAAGTAGGTCCCAACGAGTGATGTAAACTATTTTCCATACCCCTAGGTGTAAAGGGTGGCTCACCACAAATATTTATAATAACTGTTGGATAACGGCGATGGAAAATAAAAAAAAATAATAAACAAAGTAATATACAATAGTTGTTGCCAGGGAACTATAAATTGTATATTTATGTAGAGTACGTTTCCATATTTTTTCATAATATTAAACAACCGCGTATTTGTCGTATTTAACGAATTCATCAGAAATGACTGGACCGTAGAATGGGTCGGTCTAACACAATAAGCTTTCTCTATCATTTATAAGAAAGGTTAATAATCACATATGTGAACTTTAATTGTATCGATTTGTGTATTTTGTACAATGCAAGCAAACGCAAGGGGTCTGATTTGGCCCGCCGAACGACCAAAAGTACAATCATGCGAGATAGAAGAGCACAACCGAATAATGAAAATGTACGTATGAACGTGGTGCGATTGTGTGAGGCACAAGCTGAACAAAATAAAAAAAGACGATTAGAAGCGCGTCAATTCGTAGTTGACACACGCAGAGCAAATGACCGACAATGCCAACAAGTACATAGAGCATTTACATCCAATTCATTCCTTCGTCTAGTATTCGAATATTGGCCTGATATTAAATATTACGCTCATTCGAAAGTAGTGATTGGTGCTATGGACAAGGAATGTCCGCATTGTAATGCGCTTAAGTTCAAACATGAGCCAGCCGGTACGTGTTGCGTGTCAGGAAAAGTGCAACTACCGGAAATGAAACACCACCTGAACCATTGAACGGTTTACTTATCGGTACGGATCCAGATTCTAACCTGTTTCTGAAGTCAATTCGAACATTCAATTCATGTTTCCAAATGACATCGTTCGGAGCAACAGAAATAGTTAAAAATAATGCTGCAAATGATCAACAATTTAATTCAACATTCAAAATCAAAGGCCAAGTTTATCACAGAGTGGGCTCATTGCTACCAATGCCAAACGAACCACATACATTTTTACAAATTTACTTTATGGGCGGTGAAGATATTTGGTGTTTTGTTATTTTTATGGGCCGTCATCATTCACAGTGCTCCATTCATCTCAGTCACGACAACATTCCCTCTCACTTACAATAATTTAATTATTTTTTATTTGAATACCAAAATATTCATTAGATATAATTTATATGGCAAAACAACGTTTACCGGGTCAGCTTGTAAAATTTAAAATAAACTAAAAATTACACTACCATTTTCAGTACAGTATGCTGTATGGTACCAACTAAAAATTACAAGAAAAACAATTTTCGTAGAATAGTATTTTAAATAAAAAATAAAAATTATGATATTTATGTCTTCTTGATGAATGGATTAATTTGCTTAGTTATTACCATAAACCAGTCCTTAAACTTTATACCTAGTATATTTTTATTCCAAATAGATAACTGTTTTCTGGTTCAGATAACAATAGAACAATGATATTATACTGATACTAGTACATAGAGATTAGAGACCATAGAGTAATATATAGTACTATACTTTAGTTATTAGTTACTAATTTTACTATAGTACTCAATGTTGAATACACTATTTAACACTATTATTTTATTCTGTGATTTAACTATTAAATTTTATAATTATTATTACTTATTAGTTATTTATAATTAATATGAAAATTTAAATTTGTAGGTGCCTACTACCTACAACTATTTATTGGATTTAGTTTAAACATTGTAAGATACTTTAAAATTATTCTCACAGTTTATTAATAAATTAAAATGAATTCATTAGTTGCCGACTATGGAGATGAAACAGACACAGATTCATTGGAAAGCGATCAACATCTAAATGAAAACATTGAGGACTTGAAGTAATTTTTTACATTTTACACAGATTTTGGTGATAGTTTTATGAATCAATCATTATGAAAATTTAATATTTTATTAAGTAAATTTATTTACTTTAAATTTCAATAGAAAATCTGTTTTCTTTATCCAAATTTTATTTCATTGTAAATGTATAAAATTAAAGCGCTATGATTAGTTAAGTGTTTAGTCATCTTAAAACAGTTATTATTATTCTTTATAATCAATTTTTATTTTAGGACTGTTGATGAATATAAATCTGAGAATAAGCTTCCTGCACCGAGATTTAAAGAAACTGGTATAATCAATGAATCTGTCTTTAGAAATCCTTATTTGGAAGCAGAACGAGCTAAAAGTGCAGTATTAGAAAAACATGTCAAAATGGTTCCTGCTAAGGAACATCTTACAAAAGTCAATGGAAAAAATATATGTTGGATGAACAAAAAAGGTCGTTGCCGTTTTGGTAATAAATGTAAATTTGCTCACGATTCAGAATTATTTAATGGGCCAAATATAATCAATGAAGACAAATCAAATAAGGAGAGTTTTAATTTGAATAATAAAAAGAAAAGACCTGGATTATCACAAACTTTAGTACCAGAAAAAAAAATACTTAAAATATTCAAAAAAACAGAAATGTCTAGTGTGCATTCATAAAATATTAACTTTATATTTTATACTGTTTTCTAAATTCTAATACATTATCATTGATGTCAATGATAATTAATAATTTGGTATTAAACATTATGTTTATAATATAAGTACCTTAAAATAAATGTAATTATGAAATTTTAAATTAACAGATTTACCTAGTCATTGTTTTCATATTTTTACTAACTACATTCTGAAATCATTAAAACACTTTATCTTGATTATAATGTGTATGAACTATTAGAAATTTTCTTATTTATTATTTTTTTTTTTTATTCAATTAAAATTTATGTTGTCAGTATAAAGGTAACATATTTTCTAAAACTTAAAAATAATTAAATTATAAAAGTGGACCCATTAGATTTAAATAGAGGATAAAAAAATAACTAGTATTAATCCTATTGTTGATAAGAACTTGGTGAATGTAAAATATTATAAATATGTTTTACATGTTGTACTTATAATATTTGGTGTTAGCAGATATGGTAGATAATCTGTACTATTAATATATATTTACAATAACTAAATTAATTTTGAAATTTTATTATTGTTTTTAACGAATTTATCCTATAACTATATTAAAAATTGGACAGATTTGAAATGCACATCATTTGCAAAATTTAGATTATTACTTATAAGTGTTGAATTAATGCCAACTGACAATGTGACATATCAGTTCGATTTTTATTTGAAAATATGTAGTTTTTGAAAAATTTGTAATATTTTATTTTCCAATACGAATATTTATACATCTCAGGAATCATTTTATTTATTTAATCCTGTATTACTCATGTCCAATTTTGAAACAAGACTATATTATGTGCATGCAGTGGAGTTCTCAGGAATTTTCTATTGGGGGGAAGGGTCTGAAATTTACTAGAAAACAAAAGTTTCCACACAAACTTTTTTACTGAAGTACGATAACAATTTACTTTTTCTTTAATCTCTCATTGTATTATTTATTGGTAATTATTTTAGTTACAGAAATATAAAACCAAGATATATCTTATTTTACTTATGATGGACGAAAACTGATCGATAATAATCGTCCATCATCCCGACGAACATTTTATATCAACCGATTACGATTTCTACATGGCAAAACCTTTCTCATATGATATCGGAGTATTACTATAACGTGCATAATAAAATAATAAATATAATATAGATTTTTAAATATTACCACACTAGAAACAGTAAAAACTACAAATGGATTTTAATCAAACTTTTAAGCACACACAGAATCATCATATCATCACAATTCACAATAAAACCAATTATTAAATTGATTTATAAAAATATTATATTGTGATACTTTTATGAAATTGAAAAATACAGTCAATGGGGGGGGGGGGTCAAACCCCGTGATGTCATTGTGTGCACGGTGAAATTGGTCTGAGCAGATAATGCATAATAACAATAATAATAATAATGATCTCTTTAATATTCAAATATTTACAATTTTTTTTTATTTCAATATTATGCATACATTTATTTTTCACTTAAAAAAAAAGTAATAATTTAATTTTAAAATTAATTGTTGTTTCAATAATAACACAATTCGTTTTAAGTTATTTGCTTATTAAGTAATAAATACTTAACATAAAAGAGAACTAATTTATTCCTCTAAGAAATAAATGGAAATAAAATATTTTAAATCATGTCATAAGAATTTTATATGTATAATAATTATAAGTAAAAAAAAAAACATGAGTTGATTCTAATTACATCTTTAAATTATATAATATATATATAATGGTTATAGACCAAACCATTCATGTGTATTTTAGTTTATAACAAAATTATCTTACAAATAATAAATATGCATAGATCCAGATTATACTTCTTTTGAAAATTAAGTTTACCATCTTAATTAAACAAGTATATTAAGACCTCCTCATTGCTAACATAGTATTTATTTCCCATATAATTCTTCTAAGATGGTCAATAATTTCTTTTAAATGTCTATTCTTATTACTTAATTGTTCTGCTACTTCTTTCATTTCATCGCTAGCAACACGGTAAGTTTCACTAGTTTTCCTTTCTTCGGATTTCATGTCCCATTCTTCTTGGAGTGGAATCAAACCTTCTATATGCATGTATTCCATACCTTGTAATTGACAGCTATCATTACATTTTTCATATATAATTCTAAGTCGTTTGAATAGTAATTTTATGTTCCTCAATTGATCTTGCATTTTAATTCGTCTTTCATTACTCATATTAGCACCAGTTGGAGTACCATTTGGAGGCATTAGAACTTTAAGTATCTGGAAAACTTCATGTGTACGAGATACTATCTCTTGTACTGTTTCTTGTCCAAAACGACACAAAGATGCAGTATTAAATTGATGACCAGATGCTGACTGATTTTGGTTGGAAGGTGGTACTGGTGGTTGAGAAACGGAACCAACACCGACGGGATTTTGATTGAGAGGAACTTGTGGTACCAATACATTGTGTTGACCAGGAACCTGAGTCTGAATATTCGATTGTAAACCAGGCCCCACATTAAAGCTTTGTTGACCGACCATGCCAGTCTGAGATGACTGCATATTGATATCTAGATATTATAGAACTTATACTTTATTTTAAATAATTTTAAAGTAATACACAAAGTATTAGATAAGCTATAAAACAAAGTTTCAAAATCGGAATTTTAAATAGACCTTTAATACAGTAGACCGTTTAGAGTGTACTGTCACTGTGTAGCATTTTATAAGACAATTGTTATCAGATAAATTTTTATTGATTATTGGATTATGCAGTTTATCAAATATTAAATCATAACAAATAGAAACTTAAGAGATAACGTACATAACATGTTTTTTAGTAACCACTTATCGTAACCAATGTTCTACATTTAGAATACTATACAACAGGGTCAGTGATTCTCAATTCTCAAATCTTTAAAGATTCGCCACCCACTATCCACAGTAACATACGATTTTACATTTGTAAAATAAATAAAAGTAATTTTTTAAAAACAAAAAATACTTATTTAAATTACTTATTTTATTTAATTATTTATTTTATATTTTATGTTGGTTTTTTATTGTGATATTCTTCCCATAACAGCGTACCCATTGACCGTTGTTCTATAAAAAAAAAATAACACATTAAATATTAATATGAATCGTATGATGGTTTTCGGAATTTATAATATTTTATTATTTATTTATTCTTTTAAAATAATAATAAAATTATTGACACCTTTTTAAAGGCAATAGAGTTTACATACTCATTTTTTTTTTACAATATTAATAGGTACCTACCCATTATAAATTATTATATTATACCATATAATAAATACGGTAGGTGTAATAATATGCAATAGAGTTGAATTATTATAGATTTCAATTTATATGACATATAAAACGTATGTTACTGATAAATTGGTAATCTATCAATTGAAAATTAAACATATTTATAGCTTAATGCTTATATTTATATTGTTTAAAAACATGAGTTTCTTAGAATCCATAAAATTGAAAAAAATGATCCACTTAAAATTAACTCAGGAATCAGGACATCCAATAACTCTAGCGACCCACATATTAAGAAACTTAGAAACGTTGTTATAGATTAATAGATTGCTACACTTAAAAAATATTATAAATGGATACTTAAAACTTTTAATATACATGTATTATTATATTTAATACACACAATAATACTTGCAAAGTTGCAAATGCAATGTTTTTAGAAAAAATTAATTCAACCAACCATCTTATTATTAAGAGTTAAATAAATAACTTAAATAACAATATAAATATATCAAAAAATATAATTAGCAATATAGGTTGACAAACCGTTTCTATTCAGAATTTTTTTTTGTAACTTATGATTTATTATTAATTTAAATTTAACATAAACATTACAGTCACAGTATGATTTACTTTTCAATGATGAAGTAAAAGGTACATTTGATATCTAATACAGCAGAATGTCTACTTACTTTCCCCTTTTACATATCATTATTTAAAATCAATTAAATAAAAAAAATTTTTTTTAATGAAGATATCAAATATGAAATACAATATAAACGAATAAGTTTATATTAGTCTCTTATTGTTGTATGTATTGATAATTTTGGTGTTTTGTTATACTTACCTACTTATGCTTGAATATGAAACCACATAATTTGAATCTACCACTCTACAAATATTATAGGTATTATATTCTGTTTAACTTGAAATATGCAAACCACAACTTACTGCGTTTATGATGTTAGAAGATTTTAACTGTAAGCTAACTTCTACAATTGAAAATTATTGTAATTTGCTTCAAAATTAAAAACCTACAAAGTGTTTTGTACAATATTATTAATTTTAAATTTAATAATAGGTTAGTTTTTTTTAATATTAAATACGACAGAGTAAAAAAAATTCTTTATAAACTTGCATTGTGATATAATATGCATTCATACTTTACATAAACATTTTAATTTTACTTTTAGATTATTAATATTTTAACATTAAAAAAGAAAAAAACTATTAAATTGATATCTACTTTTTGTATTAAATGTTACAACAAAGAACGCAATTTGCGTTTAATATTCCTATGAGAACACACAATTTATTGAATAAACTATTAACAAATATAGAAGTTGTGTTCATTAATTTAACTATTGAGAGTCATTACTATTGACAAATTTTGACAAAAAATCATTTGGCTTTGGCTCAACAGTATCTTTAAATAATGTCATTACATGACAGTCTTGAGCCCATTTGGTGACAATTTCTTGTAACAGCATCTGACCCTGCAAATAAACATTGTGAAAATAATTGCATAATAAAAAATAATCTTAAAGCACTAAAAAAAAAAAAAAATAAATAAAAACTAATAAAATAGTAGAAATTGTTGTTATTTTTAGCTGATTCATTAAAATAAGTTTGTAATTATTAATTTGTATACTTAACACTATATTTTAATCAAGATAATAGTAAATTACTCGATTATATGAAACTAATTTTATTTGAACATTTCTACTAACAAAAGCATCTCACAGCAAGTTTATGCAAAATAGTGCTAGAAACTACAGTTTCATGATCATTGGAAAATCTGGTTAGACCTGAAGGTTATGCTTTAAACTTTAAGTCAGGAATTTTCATTTTTGGGTTTTCTACTAAGACACAGTTTTGATTTTCATAGCTTTTTCCAGATGTGATTTCAATACAGATAAAAGTATCACAATTATTATGAACAAAAATTGGATGAATAGATATTTGTAATGTTTGTTTCTATACAATATGGCCAGGCAGTGAACACTAGATATCCAATTATATACATCAGAGCGTCTAGTGGTATCTAGTCATTATTATATTTATATTTTTACATACCTTAATAACTAACATATCAATGACTCTAATATCAGTTATATGTTTATTTTTTAAGAATTCTTCCTTCAACTTTTTTTGACATTCTTCTTTGGAAACAGGTAAATGACGATCAAACACTAAAATGATGATTTATTTTGTAAAAAGGTTTAAAATTTAATTAAAATTATTTACTTACATATCAAAGGAATTTGCCTGTAATATGTTTTATATAAGTTTAAAACTCTTTTTTTAGCTTCTGATTTATCTGATGATAATAATGGTCTAACTACTTTAGTTGCATATTTAGAAGCTTCTCGAGCAGCCATTTTAAAAAAAAGAAATTATTGTTGTAAGTCAGTAACCTTGTCGAATTTGTTAATCAAATATAATTTTATCTATTGAATATAGCAAATAGCGAAATGAATATAAGTTATTGTTTCAACAAAAAGCCTAAACTTTAAAAAAAAATTTATGATTTATGTCTTATCAAACATTAGTAACCTTTTGAGCACGAACTTAAAATATTTTAAATTTTGATAAAAACATAGATTATCAGTCATATGTTAAAAGCACAGATATCAGGCACATATACAAAATACAATTTTGTGGGGGGGAAGGTTTACAAATATAGTAATACAAATTGTACTTGTACAACAACATAATAAAATAAAACAATTTCTTCCTCGTTACTCATTTTTTTTAATGTGACAATTATAATTATGCTAAGTATCCAAATTTTATGTATGCCATTTGTTTAGAAGTAAGTTTATAAGAACAATTATAATAATAATAAATAAAACTTTAAATGTTATGAACAGAACAGACATTTATTTTATTAGTACTTACGCACATAAAATTACCTAATTATATTATTAAGTACCTATATAGAAGAAAAAAATCAAAATTTTATATTTATTACATTGAAAAATTAAAAATTAAAGTATAAAATCCCATTTTCGTGGTAACTTAAGAAATCTATCGATAATTTCTACCACATTTAAATCAAAATTTCGGTAAAAGTTTAGTATTGCCAATCCAGTAAGTCTAATTTCTCTCATATTGTTTCGTATGTACGTTTTAAGTCTTCGTAGAGTTGAGAATGACCGTTCAGCAGTAGCAGTTGTAATAGGTAATATGACCAAAATGTACCTTACATTATTGATGTAATAATACATAAATTAGCAATTTAATAGGAATTTTTGGTCATCAATTGAGATATAAAAAAAGATTATTGACAAAATGTGAGTTTTCTAGGTATATAAAGGTTTATATCGCAATGTTGAGTTCTCACATGTGCGTAATTCTCAGTAATCAGTTATCACTTCATTTGATCACAATACTAGATTATAAACTTGTATTTCATACCTGACTAATATAAACAAAAGAAAACTAATCAACAGCTAGTAATAAAAATATTTTATAATAATTGGTGTATAATTTGACTTAATTTTTAAAGAAATTATTTGGTGGGGGGTGGGGGGATTGAACCCCAAAAATCCCCTATGTATACGTGCCTGGCAGATATATTATCTATATCCGTGCCATCCGTGGTTAAAAATAAGTAAATATCACGGTGTTACACAGTTCAACAATTGCTATATACTACTACTTCAATATTTTATTATTATTATTAGCATTGATTATATTATAATTATAATAAGTTATAGAAAAGTTTATTCTATAATCATTAATCAATGTAATTAGTATCGACTACATATATCAATTGTCACAAATATCAACTACAACGATATTAAATTATACGGTGTACCTCACTGACTCACAATAAAAAAAAATACCACTGCTAAGATAATATCACAGAATATTCTGTAAGTATAATAAAAAATAATATAAATTATGAAATTCTTAATTCAAAAAACAACGAATTATGATTTATGATAATTACATATTTATATTGAAGAAATAGATTTATTCTCTGCTATTTATAGTTCCAAATCCTGTCGTTCGAATTGCATAAAATGTATCTATATAGAATTTCGGTAACAATTTCTCAGTTAGGACTTTCAATTATTTGTAATAAGCTGATATAAAAAAGAAAAAAAATTGTAATTAAGATTGAGTTGGGAATTGAAAAATAAATGTTGATTAAATATTACACAGTAAATACAAATATAATATTTAATAACTAATAAAGTTTTATAATATAATTAAATACATGTTAATACTATTTTTATTTATTTTTAAATATTATGGAAATAAATTTAAATTTTAATCTTTGTCTATACGTTGTATTTTGTATAATAATTCGTGAATCGGTTAACGCATGCATAATGTTACAACTATACATTATACATAATTCATAAATATAATCATATGTAATAGTTTTAGTTAATAATATTAATAAAAAAACAAATTTTAAACAATTTTTTTTTAATTTTACTTTTTGATTATGTTTAAAAATGTTTAGAAAAAATGATACATATCTATCAAGCATTTAGATACTTATTTGATAATGATTGGATTTGAAGCTTTGTAAGGATATAAGATCCTCCAAGCCTTTCACACAAATTTGAACCGATTGGTAATGTTATTTAGTAGGTAATCTAGTGCAATATTAAATAAACAATATTAATTTCACAATTAGAAAAAAAAATGTACATTGTGACGATTAAATAAGTTAAAATTAAGTACCTAAATATATGTAAGACAACAATATAGACTATAATTAATTCAGACATGTAGTTAAGTATATAATATAAATTGATCCTGGGGTATTGGCGTTTAAAACATAATATAGATTTAACTTTAGTACAGAGTACTGTAGGTATAGATTGAAAAATTAATCACTCTTAATGAAATATTGATTAAAAAATTAAAAACGGGCAAGTTCCTCGCTGAAATATCTATCAGCGATCAGTGTTTATCTGTAGATACTAATGATATTTCATTATATATTTATATAGCTATTAATAATTTATTTTTAATTAGGTATCACACTATAAGTGGAATTAATTATTACCAAGAAAAAAAAATAACATTTATTATCTATAATATAGTAATATAATTGTAATATTATTTCATATTCATATTTCATACATAGTTATGTGGCCTAGATAGTAGATACTAGATACATTATAGTATACATTATAATTTATAAGTAACATTATCTGTAATCGTACGTTGGATTTTTTGATACGGAAGCTTGAGATATAAAGAGCATTAAAATTGTATGCTATAACTAGGTTCGACAATTAGACATTTAAGAATTAGATAGCAAGAAACAGTAAGAGAACGATATTTAAATATACAATATTTACAGCAAAAATAGAGGAGTATATATATATATTTATATATACCCAACTAAATTTAAAAGCTTGGTGGATAAAAAAAGATAATGTATTAAGAATGATATTTATTTGTTGAATGTTAAATTTTGAAAATGCTTTGGTATACTATGATTTAAAATTGGAATATAAAAAAAAACTCCAACGCTGCAAGAACACGGTTTATATTTTTAACTTAAAGTTTTAAGATAGACTAATTACTCATTGTTAAAATTAAAGCTAATAATACAAGGTTAATTTTACTAAACGAAAGTTACCTTTGTTGCTCATAGCCCATAAGTCAGAAAGAGTAATTAAATAGTGTGTTGAATATCACTATGTCATCAGTCAACCAACACAAAAAAACAATCCAAAAATTATTTTGCTTTTTAATTTTTACGGAATAGATAACGATTGGTGGAATGTATTTTATTTTTTTATTTTAAGAATGAGATATGAATAGTCTGAAAATAGAATTCAATTAATAATTTTAAAATGATAACATACATTTTTCCTATATTGTAAGTTAAAAACTAATAATAAAAATTCATCAACCGGAACATTTTTCGGTGCCTGGTTAAACAACCTAAACAGTAAACAGTAATTACCTACCTGTCACAATAATTTAGTTTGCACTATTAACGAAAATACATTTATAATAAAAAATGTTATATTGATGTTTATTATGTTTATCAATATCATGTATTTCTTAAAAATAATATTATTATAACTAGTATTGATTAACATTCAAATTTAGTTGTCTTAATTATCTTAATCAACTTTAAATTGTTAAGTTTAAACAAATTATTATATATTATTATGTATAGGGGTATTGAGCTGTAGATTAAAGAAAAATTATCAGGTATAATTTGTAGTATTTGTACCTCGATATTTCGTGTACATATAGTCGTCATATACGGCTTATATACGGCATAACTAAATAACTTATACTTTATAGACATAGATAGATGTTATAGCCTATGATTTTTTAATAATAATAATAATAATAATAATAATAATAGTATTAAAAATGATAGTAGTAAATAATCATGGTAATAGTAATAATAATAATAATAATAATTAATGATGAATAAAGTCTGGTTTATTGTTATAACCGCGGTAACCTAAATAATGAAATGTCCTTGAATTATGATGAAGATACTGAAAAAAAAAATGTTTTATCTGACTTTTCTGACCTGTTTCCGTGATAGCAATCCAGCTCTTCTCTTGTGTACATTTTTTGTTCTTAGCAAATTTCTACTAGACGCTGAGTGAAGGAAATTCACGTAGAGCCCAGGATGTATATTGTGCAATAATCGTATGATGGAATGGCGGAAGAGGAGTTTGATAGGCAGTTGATGTGCGATGAACCCGAAGTGATACAAAAAGTCATCGACATTTCATCACAAATGTTGATCAGCTTAAGGAATCTATGCGAAACTCGCGCAGAACTTACTCAACATGAAATTAGAACTTTAGAAGTAAGCAGTGAAACCCTATTTATTTGTAGTACATAATTTTTTTATTTATACTTTCTCAATCTTTATCTAGGGTAAATTAGTGAAGTTGTTTTCAGTGCAGTTGAATAATAGACATAAAAATCCAGGGCGGTTTGATTGTCAAAAACTAAGAAACTCGCCTTCTATAAATCAATGGTTGGAAGTTGTAGGACTTAGTACACTTTCTGTACAAGTATATATCAATATAATTTTTAATGTTGAGCAATTATTATAAATTTATTTATTTATAAATATATTTTCTAGAGAATATGTGAAAATATCAGTTCCATTGAAGCATTATTGTTAAAGTCTGAGAATGAATTGAAATCAATTCTTCCAGAATACTCTCTCAAAGATGAAGAACTTAGACGATTAACTAGAGCATCTTATAATTTGAAAAAATATAGTGGTATGTATTTTTTAAATTATATTATTAGTTATATTTCAAACACAAACGTGATTTTTATAGTGTTTGACTTATTTTATTCCCATAATATTATTATAATACATACGTAAACCTAAAAGATAATATTATGTGTTTATGTATAACTATAAGAATTAGATAACTTAGAAAATATATCACTAATTGAATGAACAAAATTTACTTTTATTTTATTTGGTATAAAGTTTAATGATTGAATACAATTTTGATTCAGATTACATAAAGTAAAGAGGTTTGAAAAGTTAAACTTAAAGTAAAATTTAGAAGAAATCACATTTTTA